GATTGAATATACCACATGGTTTGAGCCAACAAGGAGAATAGCATTAGAAGTACTTTTTATCATGGATGGAAGAAAATTACAGTATAAGTTAATCATGAAAGTAAAGAGACTCTTGAAGGAGGAGAAGGGAAAAGTAAATATAAATTGGGAAAAAGAAAAGGAGTTATATATATAGTATATATTCGTTCTTCCAAATATCACTGTCGCTTTCTGCTTCTATCGGGTCTCTCTCTCTCTCTCTATATATATAAAAAAATATTTCCCACCATTTATAGTATAATTTACATTCGTTTTGCTGACAGTGTTTGATTTTTAGTTTTCATACTCGGAAAATTAAGCATGTAAGAAAACCCTCACATGAATATCTCGAAATCTGGGTCATAATTCATGAACTTTGATGAATAGTGGGTCCGGAACCAATTATTATTTTAGTGTGAATTTGAACATGTCTTGATTAATTGAGAAGTTTTGGTAATTATAGGCTACAATTTATTCATCAGATTTTAAGGGGACAAAGAGGAAGCATAGGAGTTTTTCCACCATCTTCTGCTTCATCGGTAAATCCACAATCCTCGATGCAAAACTTTTTAGGTTTTAACTAGAAATTTTCTTTTGAATCTGTTTCTGTGCCTATTAGAAGAAACTATGTATCAAGCAGTAAATCTTTTAGATGATGAAAATGTTAAAAATTTTCATTGAGGAATTAGTTTTCGAGAAACTGCAGTAGTTATTATTGATTGACTTTTACTACAGCATATACTATTCCTTTGTTTAAGTTTCGTTACATTGTGCTGAATTTAGCGGTTGACTATTTTTAATTAGTGTTATAAGTTGTGTGAACAAAGAATATATTAACTGTTGAGTTTGTAACATTATCTGCGTGTAGGTTTAACTTTCTTTTTTGTGGACAACTTAGGAGTACAAATACTGAATTTGAGGTGTAAGAGTGAGGAATTGGGGACAGAAGACTTAGGTACAATGTTTTTAAGAAACGACCAAATGCATATTCCTCACTCATATAAAAACTCTTATGTAATTAGAGCTAATTACACATGTGCCAAACATAATTTATAACTTTTTCTTACCTATTACACATAATCAGTTTGAGCATGATTGAATTGATTGGTTTGAGTATGAATGGTAACTTGGATTCGTATAGGCTGTAAAGTTTAGGGTTTTTTTTTTGCTTATATAAGGCAATACTATTCTAACGTATTTTCATTGTTATCATCTATAGTTCAAACCACACCCATATTTGTTCTCTCATTTGTACTAAGACTTATTTATTTACATTAACAACTTTTTTGTTCTTCCCAATCTGTAATGTAACATACAAAAGAAAACCTACATGTGAGAAGAAAGAAGAAAGCTCTACCCAATGTGGAGCCTTACCCATGGACACATTTTGTTACTCATGTAAATATTGCTCCACCCTTGGACTATTTTGTTCCTCATTGTAAATAAGATTATAAATGAATTTTCACACATAAATTTCCCACCCTTGGAAACCTCTTGTGTTCCTCATTATAAGTATATACGTTTAGAATTTTGACATATTTTATACAACTTTAAAACCCGCAGCATCGCGCTGGCAACCTTGCTAGTCCCTATACCTATACATGGGATTGGACATCTACATCCATGATCCATATAAAGCAAAGTAGGCAATGACATGAAATTGACCAGAAAAATGGGGAAGCTTGTGAACAAATTCACCTACCCTTATCTTTTATGGTAAATTATTTCTGGGTAATGAGGCTTGAGTTCTAATTAACTCGCTGAACCAAACAATAGTGTAATTAAGTAGTGTCCAGAGCCGACCAATTTATTCCCTCATTTTGAAATATGGCGTTAGTATAAAAAAATAGTGATCAAGGCATACCTCTCTCTCTATCTTATGTCTACAAACTTGTTTCCTGGCAGAAATGGGAGAGAGAAGGATGATCGGGGTGGGGTTTAAGGATCGAAACAGGTTGGAGATATTTATTTTTTATTTTTTGCTTTTCTTTTTATGGTAAAAGAAAATGTCATTAAAGGATGTGGACACATAACTATAACGGAGTGACTTAGGGCCGGTTTGGTATTGCTGTGCTTTAAAAAAAGTTGCTTCTGCTGTGCTGTGAAGATAAGCAGTTGTGAAATAAAGCGGTAGAATGTTTGGTAAACTTTTTTGTAAAAGTACTTTTGGAAAGAAAAAAAAAACAGTATGATAGTGTTTGAGAAACTTTTATGCAAAACAGCTGTGACAAGTTACATTTTTTTCCTTTTCTCTTTTCTTTTACTTTTCTAGAACGCTCTCTCTCTAGAATCATCTCCATTTTTTTCTCCTTCCTGTCCAACTGCCTCTCTGTCTTTCTCTCTCTTCACTTTTTCTCTCATCACCAAATTCCATTCTTTTAGCCACTTTCTCCCTCATCATCAAAGATCTTTGGTAGAGATGAAACTGGGAGGAGTAGAAGGGGGATGATAGATATGAAGGAAGAAGCTTCCTCCGAGAAATGGGAAAAGCTTCTGGAATTTCGAAGCTGATTTCATATAACAACGATCTGGTGAAGGTGTTGAAGGACTAGAAGGACATCAACAACTTGGCGCAGTGTCTCCAGCACCGCAAGGCCCTCCACTCCTCCTGTGATTCCGATTTCAATGAAGTCCAAAACTCGCTTCGAGGTTTGTTTCCTCACTTGGGTTTTGTTTGTTTCCCGAGAAAATTTCTAACCCAAAAAATTTTCAGTTAGTTGCTTATACTTTTTTTCCACTTTCAAGCAAGCTAAATTATGCCTTAGGTAAATATGGGATTGTATAGTTTAGAAACTTACTTTGTGCACACCCGTAGAGAGCTCCACCTCAAAATGTAGGGTTCTAACCCATTTTCCAAGAACATGTTTTCTTAAAGGGGGGGACAGAGGGGTTAGGTTCAATTTGATTTTTTTTCTGGTTGATTCTCATATTTCCCTTGCATAAATGTTTCTCGGAAAGAAGATATTTGGCTGGTGTTGTATGTCGATACGTGCATTGATTGATGAGTTCTTATATGAAGCAGACTATGAGATAAAGGGTAGGATTGCCAGAAACTTTCATTAAAGGGTCACTGTTCACCCGTGTTTTAGAGCTTTGCCCAGAATCTAAAAAGCCAGTTTTTCAAAGCTTCCTTTTGCTGCTTCTGTTTTTTGACTTTTTTTTCATCTAAAACTATGAAAAAAAAAAAACTGAAGTTGGAAGTTTACCAAACACCAAAAACTCTCCCAGTTTTTTTTCATACCAGCGTTTTTTAAAATCACCTCAACCCCAAACCATACCTTAGTGGTTGAGACAAATTTCAGGCCTTCGCATCTTTGATTCGATTCCTATCCTGGTGAATCGTACTGTGGGATTAGGGGAGGCTGAAACGTCTTTGTCCGTCTTTCCGATCTCAAAAAAAATCCGTGACAAAATCACCATTTTAACCTTTTTAATAAAGAAAAAAAGAAAAGGGCTGTGGACACGCGAAAAATAAGTTACGTTGGCCATGAAGGGCTGTGGACGCGGGAGAAATTAGTTAGGTTGGCCATGAACTAGTATTTTACTGTGAGCTTTTGTTCATTGGTTTGCTCGGAGAGACAGCAAGCTGTGCCACGTGTACTTCCACAGTTTTCCTAACCAAAACGCCAAACACCACCACTATATTTCTTGTTCCAAATTGTCAAAGACGGTGGCCAAGGATTTTATTTTAGTCCTGAATCTTCACCGGGGTAGAAATTTGAAAACATTGGGTTTTTGGTGTGTTTCTTTGGGCTTCATATTGGTTGGGTTTTATTTGAGCATATTGTATTAAACGTATAAGTTGATCATGCACGTATCAGGGAGTGGGGTATGAGGCTTCCCCAGCAATGCCATAAAGACCACCTTTTGTCTCAACATCTCTTTGCATTCTTATGTACCCTTCTTCATCCCATTCTGCGCCCCATGAGTTCTTCACTAACCAGTACTTAGTCTCATCAGCACTAACTCCACAACCAACAGTGGTAACCTCATGATCGAGCTTTGTTCCACAAGTTCCTGTAAATACACCACTTGAGTAGAACAGAAAGTCGGAACCACCAGCATGAATGGCAACATAAATTGTTGATTAGTAACAGCCTTCAGAAGGGCAGCTTCACTGTTTGCACTTTGCAGCCACATTCGTGGCCAGTTATCTTGGATGCATGGCTGGCCTCCTTCGTGGTGCTGCAAGTACCATCAACGCCCGTGTAAGGGTAATTAGTCTCGCTTTTGATTGATGAACTGAATAGTATCATCCATCAAACCACCCTCACAACTTTGGTCCACACTGTTTAGGCCGCAATCAACCAGCTCTTGCTTAGACAAAGATATCAATTTACCAGTTGTAAGCTTAGTAAGCCCTTCTATAACTGCCACCGCTGCAACAACATCATGCAAGTATTTCATTGTTTTTGCTGGATAAATTAAATAATGGTTAGATTAATAGACATAGATTTTTAATATTGCAATTAGATCGTAGTTAGAATATGAGAAACTGTTTGATTAAGTTCCAAATTAAATTATTTACATACCACATTCCTTGGTCTTGGATAGGTGTTACTGCTCCTTTCTTTCTCCAATCTATTGTAGGTGGTGCTGTAACATTTCCACATTTGAAAGAATTCGTCTTTGTGGAACATTCATACTCCATGAATTTCTAGAGGGCCCATCTAAGCCCCTGCCAAGCACCCGCCTAGTCCTCTAGGCGCTAGGCTCTTATCAGCCGCCCAAGAGGCGCCTTGTAGAACCTTGGATATGTAAACTAAGAAGAAGAGAATCACAGACAGTAATCTTAGAGAGAGAAGTCAGAGAAAGAGATTCATAGAGAGAGAAAGATATTTCTATTTCTTTTCTTAATCACCAAGCTATTACACTATAAGAGTATATATACTACACCCTACTTACATTTGCATATTCTTAACAACTATAACTAACTCTCTTAATCTGTTTACAAGTGTCACCATCCTATGTGTACATTATCTCTAACATCCCCCATCAAACTCATGCATGGGAGAAGAACCAAGCATGAGATTGGTACAATGAGTCCAAAAGAGAGGAGCACTAAGACCTTTGGTAAGGATATCGGCAAACTGCTCTCCGGAAGATACAAACTGCACAAGTAACTTCTTTTGAGCAATCCGTTCACGAACAAAATGAACATCAATTTCAATATGCTTGGTCCGTTGATGTTGAACGGGATTGAACGAAAGAGCAATGGCGGACAGGTTATCACAGAAAAGCACAGGAGCACAAGACAGAGGAATGTGTAGGAATGTAAGAAGTTGCTGAATCCAATCAAGTTCAGCAGCAGTGGAGGACATGGCTCGATATTCGGCTTCAGTTGACGAACGAGAAACTGTTTGTTGTTTCTTAGAAGACCACGAGATGGGATTGGAGCCCAAGAAAACAACGAACCCAGTTGTAGAGCGCCTGTCATTCGGATCACCAGCCCAGTCGGCATCACTAAAAGCTTTTAAACCAACGTCACCAGCAGCATAAGTAATGCCAGAAGACAAGGTGCCTTTCAAATAACGCAGAATGCGTTTGACAGCAGTGAAGTGAGACACCATAGGGGTTTGCAGAAATTGAGATACTTGATGGACTGAGAATGCAATGTCAGGACGAGTGAAAGTGAGGTACTGCAGGGCACCAACGATACTCCTGTATGTCCCAGGTTCTGAAAATGGAACTCCATCATCCTTCAGTAAACGATTATAAGGTAAGCATGGAGTGTCACACAGTTTGCAATCACTCATTTCAGTCTTGTGTAACAAGTCTTGAATGTACTTGGTTTGTGATAAAAACATCCCAGTTGCTGTGCAGGATATTTGAATGCCCAAAAAATAATGAAGTGTGCCCAAATCCTTGATGTCAAACTCAGTAGTAAGGGACTGGATGACCTGTTGTATAGCAGCTGTAGCATTCCCTGTTAAGATAATGTCATCTACGTAAAGCAGTAAAATCACTATCTCAGAACCAACATGCTTCACAAATAGAAACGAATCAGAATAGGTGGAGATGAACCCGAGAGAAGGAAGGAAAGCTGTGAATCTCTCATTCCAGGCCCGGGGGGCTTGCTTCAATCCATACAGAGATTTATGTAACTTGCAAACAAAATGAGGATGCACAGGGTCTGCAAAACCAGGAGGTTGTGCCATGTAAACCTCCTCCTGCAGTATGCCATGCAAAAATGCATTCTTGACATCAAGCTGCCGTAAAGACCAATGAAACTGAGCAGCTAAGGCCAGGACAAGCCTTACTGTGGTAGGTTTAACCACTGGACTGAATGTCTCCCCATAGTCTAATCATTCCTCTTGACTGAAGCCCTTTGCAACTAAGCGAGCTTTATGTCTTGCAATAGAACCATCCGAGTTCTTCTTTATTTTAAAGATCCATTTACAGCCGACTAAGTTTTTCTGAGAGGGCAGAGATACAAGAGACCAAGTACCTTGAGAGTGCAGGGCAGCAATCTCTTCCTTCATAGCAGCCAACCACACAGAGGATTTCATAGCAGTCTTATAAGAAACTGGCTCAATGAGAGACATATCAACATCTCCAGATGGCGCTAAAGAACTGAAAAACACCTTGGGTTTGACTATACCATTTTTACTCCTGGTCTGCATAGGATGCATATTCAATGGTGCAATAGGTAACACCACTTGTAACCGATCAGGGCTGAACTCATGATCCACAGGGAGAGAAGGAGTAGTACTTGATGGAGCAGTAATGGATGAAGAAGAAGGTAAGGAGGAACATGGAGGTGAAGCAACCATATGTGGAGAATGAACAGCAACACTAGAGTCAGGGGATGGAGGGACAGGTGGAGAGGTTAAGGAAGAAACCAGAGGAAGAGGCACCACCAAAACATTCTGATGGTTAGGAACAGGTGTAAAAGATGAAGGTGAACAAGGGACATGGGACACACTATTTTGTTTGGACAATTGAAGAAGACTAAGATAAGGAAATTCAGTCTCATTAAAGATAACATGTCTGGAGATAAAAAACTTGGCTTTGGACACCTCATAACAAATATAACCCTTATATTGGGAAGCATACCCCAGAAAAAACACACTTGGTGGTCTTAGCTTGAAGTTTGGAAGTGTTGTAGGGTCTAAGTAAAGGATAGCAAGAACAACCAAAGACACGGAGGTGAGTAATGACAGGATTTTGACCATACAAAACTTGAAAAGGAGATTGATTCTGTAAAACTGGAGTTGGCATCCTATTGATTAAGTAAATTGCTGTTTGACAAGCAAAGGTCCAGAATTGAGAAGGCAGTGTGGCATGTTGTAACAAAGTGACAGTAGTTTCAATGATATGCCTATGTTTCCTCTCAGCTAATCCATTCTGTTCAGGTGTATAAGGACAAGATTTATGATGTACAATACCTTTGGATTTCAGAAAAGTGTGGAGCTTATTACTAATATATTCACCCCCCATCAGTTTGTAGTATTTTCACAGAAGTAGAGAATTGAATGGAGACAAATGCACAAAAGGTAACAAAAACATCAGTGAAATCAGATTTACTGGATAAGGGAAACAACCAACAAAACCGAGTGCACTCATCAATGAGAGTAACATAGTATTTATAGCCATCAATGGATGTACATGGTGCAGGACCCCAAAGGTCACTGTGAACAATTTGAAATGGTATGACAGACTTGACATGAGTGGAAGGAAATGGTAACTGTGTGAATTTACCCTTGAGACAACTTTGACACATATGAGAGACAACATCCTGATTAGATGGAATATTTGCTTGTTTAAGAAGTAAAGAAACTACATTATTGGATGGATGTCCGAACCTAGTATGCCATAAACTGGAACCAACAAGATGTCCAAGAAAAGCAACATGTGAAGATTGAGAAGGTAGGAAGCTAGTAGAGAGTGAGTGAAGAGGATAGAGTCCATTACTGCACGGAGCCTTGTACATGATTCTCCCTGTGACCTTGTCCTGAATCCAGAAGTAAAATGCATCAAAGATTAGCCAGCAATTGTTGTCCAAACACAACTTATGAACTGACAATAAATTCTGTGTCAATTTAGGAACATAGAGAATGGAATTTAATGTGATAGGATTTGTAGAAGTGTTAAGAATAGAACTGCCAATGTGAGAAACTCGCAAACCTTCACCATTGGCAGTTTGAACAACTTCATTGCTTGGGATATGGAGAAGCTAAGGACAAATTGTTAAGATCAGCTGTCATATGTGTAGTAGCACCGGAATCTGTCAACCAGACTTGTGGTGATTGAGAAGTAGATGCCACAGAGCCCATATGAGAAGATGGTGATGTGGGAGAAAATACAGTATTCATTGCTTACAGGGAAGAGGGGTGAGAGCCATGCAACACATGAGGCACATTGTAAGAGTATCCCTGCATTGGAGTACCTGCCCGTTGAGAATACTGAGGTCCCATATAGGAAGGCCCTTTTTCATTGTAAAAACAATACCAAGTTGTATGATTGAACTTGCCACAGATTTGACACTGTTGGCGATCAGAAGACTTATTGTAACAATAAGGAGCAGTGTGACCTTCAGCATTACACAATTGACACATCGGCAATAGAGGTGCTGAGGGCGACGAACCAAGAACACCAGGAGTAGGTGTAGGGAAGACATGGGTTTGTGTATGATACATTGGCCGAGGAGTGTAGTATCGCTGACCTCCATTGAACTTGCCCTTCCCTTTGTTCTTGTGAACATACGGCTTGAAACCTCCTGAAACACCATAGGACTGACCCCCAGTATGATGAAAGGAATGACCACCGCCAGAGTTAAATGCCTGATTAGAACCTTTGTGCACAGGGGATGAGGTATTATTGGTAACCATCGCAGACAGAAAAGGAACATGAGAATGACTATCAACAATTTCTTCTTCAGCAAGGAGTTGAGTCCGAAACTCTTTCATAGTCATAACACTTTCTCGGCCTCGAACAACCGTGCGGAATGTATTATACTCTGGAGGCAAACCATTAAGAGCCAAAATAATAATGTCTTCATCATCAAGAAACACACTAGCAGCAGACAAATAATCCCTTGCTTCTTTGATCTTCTGTAAATACCGAGTGACCGAATCTCACCCCTTTTTAATGGTTTGAAGATTGGACTTCATCTGAAAAATACTGGTCTTGGAAACAGTAGAAAACTGTTCCTTAAGCCGAGTCCACAACTCCCGAGAACTAGCACTACCAATTGCACATGACATAGCTACTGGGGACAAGGTGGCAGTAACAAGCTGCATAAGTGCGCGATCATGTAATTTCCAAACAGTATATTCATCTGTTTCTAAACCAGAGGAGGAAGTAGCAGAATTAACTCCAGAATCACCAGAATTAGGAGCAAACCGAGCAGGACAGGGTGTTGAACCATCAACAAACCCCATGATTCCATTACTTTCCAGTAACAATTGCATTTGGAAATGCCAATTAAGATAATTCGAATCATCAAGCTTAACATTGATAGATGTTGAAAGAGTAGAAATGAGAGCAGTAATAGGCGACTGAAGGAGTTGTAATTGAGATGCAGACACCATTTATACAGAAAGAAGATAGAAATCCAAGAGAGGAAATATCACAAACACCTGGTGTGCACACTCTGGAAACACCGATGCAAGAAGATCAAGAAACACCAAGAACCTTAGAAATCACAGAAGACGAAGAATACCAGAATACGTCCAAGCATACAGAAAAGAATCGACGTCGAGGACGAGAAAGAATCACAGAGTGAGAAGATGAGCGGAAGCAGCCGAAGGATCGAAGAAAACAGCAAGAGCGAAAATGGCGATTGATACCATGTAAACTAAGAAGAAGAGAATCACAGACAGTAATCTTAGAGAGAGAAGTCAGAGAAAGAGATTCATAGAGAGAGAAAGATATTTCTATTTCTTTTCTTAATCACCAAGCTATTACACTATAAGAGTATATATACTACACCCTACTTACATTTGCATATTCTTAACAACTATAACTAACTCTCTTAATCTGTTTACAAGTGTCACCATCCTATGTGTACATTATCTCTAACAGGATATAGCTGGTAAGGGAAGCAACCGGGGATTGGATGGATAAATGAATTGAAGAGAAGGTATACTGAAATGGTAGACTTTTCACGGTTTATATAGATAAGATAACGGCCTATTGCGATCTTCATGCCCCAAACGTCGGTCTGCAATCCTCGTGCCCTATAAAATGTTCTGATATAAAAGGGTTTTGCTTCTAACTATGGTTTCAAATTGAAGTAATGATAAATTACTAGCAAAACATATGTCCTTATGTGTGTGCTAGTTAGTGACCCGTAAACTATGAGGAACAATACAAATAAATTTGTTTTAAATGCATAGTTCATTATACATGGGGTTCAAGTTGTAAATCTGAAGATATTCTCAACTTCTCACGCATATGCTACGTACTCTGTGTTTGATGTCACCCGATGGACACGAGAAATTTTTAATTATGACGGGAACACGGATGGTACATTATGTGTTTCTATGTAAGTGGTGAAAATTTTTAATTTTTAAGTTGTTAACTTTTTAACACACATATCCCACAATTTATATGGAGATACGTGGTGTACCACCTCGTGTGATGGTCACACTAAAAAATCTCTCGATGGACACCATGCATGCATAGCTCCATTAATGACGACGTTCCTTAGAGGCTTAGAGCCTCTCATCGCTAAATGTTTTGGATGAACACTTTACTTGTTTTTTGTTGTCCGGTAGCTTTCTAATTAACATGATGTAAAATACGCATTTAGGCCGAAAATTATAAGTTTGTATTTTGGAGAGGCAAACAATTTTTCACTTGGTTTATAAAATGACTTTAATCGTGCAAACAAAAGAATTTATGTTAGACTTGGAATCTTCATCAAATGTTTAGACTGAAGATCGATGATTAGGAACCTGAACCGACTTCGGTTTAACATAAAAAAGATAAGATATATACACACATGAATAATTATTACAGAGTAACTAGATTAATCAGTTTCCCGGATAATATTACAAAGTACTTAATTAATGTGTTTTATGCTTACATTCATCTCATCGCTACTCTCTGGTTTCTCTACCAGCTAAAGCCAAAGCATCTCCCGCAGTTTGATTCCCTATCTAAATATGGCTTTAGGATAACGACTTAAGTAAGGTGATACTGGTAACAATTACTGTTAGCTCTCAACAAAAAACAAAGAAAATGAAAAAAAATAAAAACAAAACAAAATTACTGTTAGCTGAAGACGATCACACATGATTGAAAGGACCATAAAATCCCACACTTAATTAAACCCTAAATTTAGATTAGGGACTGTAGGTACATGTAACTAAACCAAAATTAACAACCCTCTCTCTGTCGACTTTCCCAAATTAAACCTAGTCAAAACAAAAAGCGTGGGGTCAAACACTCTCTAACACCCATCGTTGTCATTTGTCTTTCTCAAATAACGGACCCTCCTTGTTCTATGCTGTTTTTACACAATTCCACCTTGCAGCTACCCTCTTTCTCTCTCCCCCTCCCTTTTTTTTCCAAACATATTTTCCTTCCCATTAGATGCCTCCACTCACCTCTCGTCGTCCGTCCGCCACCTCTTTTCGGACGACGAGCGGAGCCATCTCCATCATCTCCATCATCTCCATCACCATCGCCACTTTCTCAACAACACACCAACGACGTCCTTCTCTTTGATTTCCTATCAAATGTCACATCTAAATACAAGAGAAAATACGTAAATTGTAGATTCTAGCCTCGCTTCTATTTGAATTTCCATTCTAAAAGCTTTGAGCGCGATTTGAATTATCTTACTCTATCACGACAATGTCCCAATCAATCTTAGCTCCCTTCCAGCTTTTGGAACTCAACGTAATATCAGCGCAGGACCTTGCGCCCATGTCGCGTTCCATGCGCACATACGCCGTTGCATGGGTGCACCCGGATCGAAAACTCTCAACACGGGTGGACACCTCAGGCCACAACAACCCTACATGGAACGACAAGTTTGTGTTCCGTGTCGACGAGGACTTCTTGCATGAAGACACATCCGCGGTCATGATCGAGATCTACGCCCTTCATTGGTTCAAGGATGTTCACGTGGGAACCGTCCGTATCTTGGTTGGTAACCTTATTCCAACCCCGGCAAAGCCCCACCACCACCATCCTCAAGTGGGCATGCGTTTCGTGGCGCTCCAGGTGCGCCGCCCCTCGGGTCGGCCACAGGGGATTCTAAACATCGGCGTGGCGCTGCTTCATAGCTCTATGCGGAGCATGCCCTTGTATTCCCAACTCAGCGCCTCAGCAGTTGGATATAAAACTTTGATGGGCGAAGACGACGCGCCGCGCAGCACCAAAACCCACCACACCGGAAGCCAAATGACGACGTATTCGAAACCCGAGCTGAGGCGCACCAAGAGCGACTCCAGCTCAATGTTCGGGTCAGAGCTGAGAGAAAAGGAATTCAGACATAAGGGTAAAAAGGAAAAAGCAACTTCCGTGGTTAACTCGTCAGATGTCAGCGCTAGAAAAAGCAAGAAGGGTCGCGGTTCCAAAGCGAGCTCGTTGGTTGGCGGCTCATCAGATATAATTTACAGGAATGGCAAAAAGGGAAAAACAAGTTCTGTAGTCAGCGCGTCGGATGTTAGCTACCGAAAGGGGAAGGCGAGCTCCATGCTCAGCGCCTCGGATGTGGGCCCACCAAAGAGTTGGAAAGACAAAAAAGGGAAGCCAAGCTCCGCACTCAGCGCCTCCGATGTCCGCGCGCATGACCCACCGAAGAACGAGAGCAATGGCAACGAGAAACCGGCTAGCTTCGTCCTCAGCGCCTCCGAAGCGGAAGAACCGCCGAGAAAGATGCCTGCCAGTCACAAGCCCTCCCCGAAATTCACCCTGGTGGACAATTTTGGTGCTACCCCCGCGCGGAGGTCGGCTCTGCCAGCTGGCAAGTCGCCATTCCAGAGGCTGCAGTCGCCCTACAACGCGTATGCGACGCCAAGAAAGTCGAACCTCATGGCTGTTCCATTCCTAACGGAGTCGGAGCTGGGGCCGTCGCCGTCGGAGGTGGCTGCGGCGATAGCAAAGGAGCGAATGGACCAGGACAACGAGAGCTCAGTTGTGGTGGGTGCGTGGAACGAGGATGACAGCGTGGAGGGGTTGCAGTCGAAGCTAGAGCGGTGGCGGACGGAGCTCCCGCCAGTGTATGATAGGGGAGAGTTTTCGAGCTTTAAATCCAGTGAAACGCGCCACACACGGCGACACAGCGATGGGAGCAATGGGCTGTTCTCTTGCTTTAGTAACATATGTGGAATCGAGTGCTCCATCGTATGCGGGTCGGGCGACCAAGAAAAACCTCAGAGGAAGAACGGGAGTAAGAATGGCGGGCGGGTCCATCGGAGTCCATCGGTAGGAGATCTAAGCTACGTATGATCAACCCGAATGGAGATGGGTTAACGGGTTGGATCTTCGGTGGGAAATATTCCGGGAGATGAGAGTAACAGCTTTGCTGGTGCTAATTTACGCCGGGGGAGTACTGTTGGGAAAATAACCACTGAAATACATAAGGGTAATATGGAGTGCAGGATAAGAATGTGCACACTGGGGGGTGATGTTAGCAAGTTGAGTTGAGCTCGGTTAGATAATTCTTCCCACTTCCCTCATTTTAATTTTGTTTTTCTCAAATTTCTGCTGTCTAATCTAATCTAATTTATTCTTTCTCAAAAACCCAAAAATAAAAAATAAAAAAAATTATAAAAAGAAAAAGACAATGAATAAAGGTATCGACAAAATTCAAATTCATTTTACATCTTATTTGTTGATGTAGAATATTAAAGCTTATATTGCATAGTTGCGATGTGTTATATCAAAAATGTGGTGTGTTAATGAATTTATTTATGCATAAAATATAATTCTTTTTTGGTGTATGGAATCTAGATGTGCATATTTTGCGATGTGCCACCTGCGAGTTTGCTGCATCTTTTTTAGGACGATAAGGTCGATCAGCATGGTTGGACTTAGAATGATTATGATGCAGGGCGCAACGGATAGAAACAAAATAAAATGATAGATAACATTGATAGATATGGTCCACTATCTCTTAGTACGATGAGAAGCCTGAAAACCCTATAAACTTTGGTTCTAGTACCAACCTACAATGTAGACACTTGAAAGAATAAAGCACCAGACTCTTAAACAAGAGAAAGACACAAATATGAGATATAAATCTCTCTGAATATTTCATTCACCAACAAAAACATCCAACTCCTTCATCTTACAGAAAGAAATAGTTTTTATAACCATTTTGTAACATATATTCAGAAATTAGAAAGGCAATAAACTTAAAATGACAAAAAATTGAAAATTACATAAAGAAAGTAATCTAATCAGCCAAAAAAACGTCCAAAACGCCCTGGCTATTATTAGGAGCTACTAATGGCTGTTATTAAGCTTTTCTAATTTGTTATAGTCATTCATTTTAGCCCAATGATTCAATAAATGCACTAGCGAACTGGCATGCATCATCCTCTTCGATTTGGAGAAAATTCGCCCTCGAATTTGCATTTCCAATATCGTCGATGTCCCATCTGTATGGAATGAGGTTTTTCACATTATGGCTTGGTAATTTGGTGTCACGATTGAAACAATCGAACTTGGTAATCCAAGAAGTCGGGACACTCCGCAAAAGAATAGCTTAGCAACTTCCGAAGCATCCATTGTCTTCTTACAGGCAATAAGGTAAGCCATTTTGGAAAATTGATCCCCCACAACAAGTCTAAACCATGCTGAGTATGAGGCCAACCCAAAACAAAATCCATGCTCATGTCCACCCATGGTTGTGATTGAATGGGTAATGGCATGTACAAAGCAGCATTTGTTGCCTTGCCCTTAGAAACTTGACAGATTCAACATTGTTCCACAAAACAATATACCTCTTTTCGCATGGCAGGCTAGAAATGAGAAAAAAAACAGTAGTGTAAAGGTTTTGTCCCTTCCAATGCAGTCATCGCTATGTAACTCTTTTATGATCTGCAGCCTCAAACTAAACTCAGGTATACAAAGTTGATTCCCTTTAAAGAGAAACCCATCATGGAACACATAATATGTTCTTCTCGAATGAACTTTTCCCCGATTTCTGTTTGGTCTTCCTCTGTCTTTCGAATACCCAACAAGTACTTGCCACAATAGCTAATTAAGAACCACAAATTCAGCATGCATCAACATATCCAAATAGTACAAAATTCTAAATAATTTCATTCTTCTCCACTTTGTCATGTTCCATGAATTTAATCTTTTCTTGATGACATAAATTGCATTTGAGTGCACATACAATTTCCAGCAAACATCTTGATATTTTAGACTTTGAAAAGTATAGACATAATTAGAACAATGTGAAAATTTTCTTTTCTCCAAGTAAAATTTTGTAGCGTGACAAGCAATGAACGATTCCTAAACATAATCATAAAAGTTATAGAAATGTAGAATAGATTTTACCACAAGTACCTCAACCATTGAACCTAAATCTTCATCACCATTGTATTCATCCAGAATCAGGGAAGAATCCCAATCGGCAACACAATAAGCTTCGATTTGCAAAGTAAATTGAATTTCATTAGCTACTTTAATCACAAGCATGTAATCTTCATCATACTCATCATAAATTGGTAGAGAACTCCAATAGACTAAGTTATCGATTTCGTAAAAACCTAACAACAGCAACATAATAACCCAAGAATCGATTAGGGCTTTGATAACCAACTGATGCAGGGTGCAGCAGATAAAAACGAATAAAATGAATTTAGAACACAAAATTAGGATAAAAATGATGGATAGGTATGATAGATAGATATGGTCCACTATCTCCTAGTGCGAGGAGAGACCTGAAAACCCTAAGAACTTTGGTTCTAGTACCAGCCTACAATGTAGACACCAGAAAGAACAAAGATGCAAACTCTTAAACAAGATAAAGGCACATAAAAACGAGTTTACAACTCAAATATCAATATGATAATTCAAACAACTTCTCCCCTTCTTCTTTACAAATACAAGTATTTATAGGCTTACAACTTAAAGTGAAAAATATGGAAAGACACAAAAAATAAAATCTTACTATATAACTCCTAAAAAACTAAATGATTTCATAAAATGTCATTAACCTAGGAATTCCATAAGCCATAAATTTAAAGCTACATACATGCATTATGACACACCCCGTCCCGAAGGAGGGCATGCTGGCCGTCACATGAGAGTGACGTAACCATTTACACAGTTCGGAAGCTTTTAAAATACAATTATTAAAATGGAAACCCTCGAGGGTGAGTCCTACTTTTGTGAATTCTGTCAGAATACCGTTGGATTCCTCGTGGCCACCAAAACTCTGCTATCAAGAACCTGGAGGGGCGAAAAACAAAATTGAGTGGGTCAGTAAAACCAAGCTTTTCAAAAACATTTCGCCAAAAATAATTCTAACCCCTCACTGTAAAACCTGTATACTTTTCCCAGAAAATAGTATAATAACATAATACTTTTCATAAATCTCGAATCATCAATTTTTCGTTAAAACCCGAAAGTATGCCATGTTTTAATTTCGAAAACAAAATAAATGATGCATCAATGTAACAGGTGAAAAGTTGAATTAACCGGAGACCCTGCAGTTGGTCTTGTACGGTTAATTCCATAGCTCAACATCCAATCCAACCGGAGTCACCTCGATGACCTGTACGGCACTACACTGCAGATAAGTCGGAACTACCTGAAGTAGTCTGTACGACATGGATGGTGTAATAATACGCTCTAGTGCTTCTCTCATCAATCATCTGTGCACATAATCTAAGGTCACCCACTAGTCGAAATCACATCTAGTAATCTATACGACTAGCATGTCGGAACCCTCACTTGGTCTGTACGACATCCACCTACTTGGATCCAAGACGAGCGTGCGGTGTGGTGAATAATATAAGCACTAACACCATGATTGCAGGTTATGAGCTATCCACAATATACACATCAACAATGCACATGAATAATATAAAACTCACCTGATACTTACCTGTGCGTCCACAGCACCAATTCACATATATATATGCATCATACATCAATTCATGCTTTTCATATACTTCTATGCATGACATTTCAAATCATACTTTTCATATAAATCTATCCATGGCATTTTAAATCATACTTTCATTTAAATTCAATTTCTGGGAAAACTCAATAGTATATAGGTAATACGAAAACAAAACTGCCCACTCACCTGGAGTTCGCCCTACAACTCCCTAGCACAACACATCAAGGCGTCATGACGATCGCCGCCTAGAACAATAATCAAATCCAACCTCAGAAATCATATCGATAGAATATAACTTATATAAAACACATCACTACGCAGTTCGATCCGAAAGATCTGCAACTCAGATTTTAAATCCATAACTTCTAGAGGTCCACAATATATCTCTAGGACAACATCCTGAAATTTCATTACCATCCAACGGTCGGATCTCCGTCAATTTCCAAAACTAAGTGACGGTTAACATTTTATTTTATGAACTTACAACTCCAATTCTGGAAGATCCGTAACTCGGATTCCCAATCCGTAAGTTCCAATAATCCTCAAATATTACGTATTACAACGTATCAAAGTTTGGTGACGATCCAACGGTCGGATCGTCAATTCACATTTTCACCTAAATGCGAAAACTATAAAACGTTATTTAAAGCACCTAACCAATAATCGTAATAACTTTCTCATACGGTGCTCAATTTGGGTATATGAATATACCACAGTGATCTACTCGACGTCACGAACGTCGACATATTTTTAGATTATTTTTTTGATGTGCCACGCGCCCTCACGCGCCGCACGTGGCACGGGCCTACGCGCCCCCCACGCGCCCTTCTTCTTCCTTGGGTCGCCGGACTGGTTTTTCCGGCGACCGTTTTCCGGCCACTTTTAAAACCTCTTGTTCTCCTTCGTTTTTCACCCATTTTCTTCGTATTTTATATCAAATTGAAGCCCCAAACATGTAGAATCACGATAGACTAGTTTAAGGCTCTAAAAATCAAGAAATCTCACCGGAAAATTCCCAAGAAATTCGGCCAAAATGGAACCACGTGATCCCGACGTCCAAATCCTTCAAACGAAGTACTCCGAGCCTCCTTAGGACTTCACTAAGCTCACTACAAGCTTAGAATTCCCTGAAACACGACATTTTACGTGTGCATGAACAGTAACTCAAAAATGGAGGTTCGGGTTTCCCGTGATTTCGAGGGTTTCACTTCCTAAAACTAGTACCAATGAACTCATAACGTCGAAAGGATGAAGATGCATACCTTGGTTGCCTCGATCCGTCGAGTTTTTGGAGGGTTTGGGTGTGTGCCGTACACATTGGGTGTGTGTGAGGTCGAGGGAGAGAGACAGAGAGTGCTACGAGAGGGAGAAAAGACAGGGAGTGCGTGTGTGTGTGATTGTGTGGCCCAACACAATCCTCACCATCCATCCAAATCCCTAACCACAAAAATTCAAATTCCAAAAGTTTAATCCCAAAACTTACAAAATTAATTCAAATAATGTCACACACACACGTACCTTAATTCCCGCCAAGGGTAATTACGTCAATTCACGTCCCAGATATAAAAATCCCGGGACGGGCTGTGACACATTATAACTCCAAAAATGCATGTATTATATTATAAAACTTAAATCCCAGCTGCCAGTAATT